GACACACATTCGATTTCTTGCAGCATCTACTAAGACTCCATACTCCAAGGAGAGGAGAAAGAGAGTAAAAAAATAGTGTGACGAAATTTGTTAATACTGCATTAGAATTGATTTGTGTACTAAATGACCTCATTTTGCTCACTTCCAAGAATGTGGTTATAAACATGATTTAGTGGTTACATCCACATGTGGTTACATATTTTATCATTTATCGTTTCTCAGATTTGTTGAATTGTTCGATTAGGACGAGAAAAATTGTTAGTTATGTATTATAGTTTTGTCAGGGATAAATATAGTTTACCAAATGTTCTACAACAACTTATCCCTCATGCATCTTATTTATAGTTACATTTTCTGCTCGCAACCGTCAAGAATGATAGAAACCTTTTGTCGGGACAGATAGTTTAATTGTTAAGATGTTATGCAATGTCTGTAAATGATAATAAAATGCTAATAGTAATATAAGTTGACAATGTGTTCGAGAACAACATATCCCTTATACATTTTTTTGTAGTCAAATTTTCTACTTTACAATCATCTTTCGAGAATGATAGAATCCTTCTATCGGATGATATGCAATTTTTATCTATGTATTATTTTGCTTGTGAACTTAAACACGACTAATGTCTGCAAACAGTAATAAAATGACAATGGTAATATATTCAGAATGTACAACGCTATCAGGGAAACATTCAGAATATAACTTCAACTACTTTTAGATCTCAAGCCTATATACATGAGTTGTGTTAGAATGGGGTTGGAACACGTGGTTCGGTTATGGTCAAATCTACCATAATGAGAGCATAGGGTAATACTTGTCGGAACTAAGATGAAAGTGGTTTTGTTCATTCTCCACTTCCATTCGTCGTCCACATAAACAAATTTTTCCTCATGCGACACGATGAATATCAAATAATTACTAGATATTGTAATGGTAAGAACTCTGCACAATCAATATGTCAATATTTTATAGTATGAAGTGACACTTTTGAATATTTAAATCCATTCAATAACAAAAGGTGAAATGAATGATTGAATCCCAACAGTTAAATTATTTATCCCGACAGTCTGTAAATGTCGAGTTCAATAGTCAATATGTCTAATATGGCGGTTTCAAAATGTCGAATTCGATAGTTGAACTGTCAAATTGTTGGGAAGCTTAAAAACATGTATTTGGTACCTTGGAAAAAATTATTCAAAACATTAATGGTGATAATCAATTCTCAATAGCAACATCACAATATCTTCTCAAAAATAAATAAGAAATAATTTAATAGTTAATTAATTATGGAATCCTTAATATTTTGTAAAGGATATTGATATTTTTTTCCTTCAAAAATATATAAATAATCAAACAAATCAATGAATAAGAGTTTCAAAAATTTCAAATAAGTATAACTATATTCTATTTAACATTTAAAATAGTAAATTATAAGATGAAAATATAAATAATTTATAATAGCTAACCTCTGAAAAATGGATGATAAATCTAATAGTAATATCTTCTTGATGATGAAATGAAGAAGATGGATAAGAAATTAGAGTTTGTGAATGGTAAGAAGTTATGCATTTTTTTCTTTTTTTTAAAAATTTTTCAAGTTCTTTTTTTTTTTTTTTGCCAAAATTCATATTATACAATATAATAATCATATATCTAATATTTAGAATATACAAAACAAATCATCACATCAAACATTAATGACTTTCAAATCAAGCATTAAATGCTCATAAAAAGGTGTCACTAAAGGTAATATAGACCTTTTACACCCAAAAGTGACATTTTTGACCAAATTTAATGCAAATGAATTTTTTTTTTTGCTCATTTTCAAATTTAGTGACATTTTTGAAAATTCTCCTTAATTTTAAAACATAGTCAAAAGTCAAAATAGATTGACAATTTTACAAAAACCATTGATTTACTCGAATTTGACCAACTTTTGATCGAGTAATGAGCAATTCGATCCAATTGGGTTACCTAGCCCGATTAAGGGCTAGAGTCAATATTTTTCAAGTCGGACCAAGTTTAATAACACTGGATCAAAGCGTCTAATTCTTTTGCAACCTATAATAATATGGAAATAGATCAATATATCCCCTTTTTCAAGAAAAAGTAGGCAACGGTCTGCATCTTGGGGGCTACCGGGGCATAGCACATCTATCTTTTGGACTGCCCATGTGCCGATCAAATGGCAAAAGGCCTTGAAGACAAGGTTTGGTTTCTAGGCGGCCATGCCATGGGATCGCATTCGCATGTTGGCCGGGCCGCTCGAGTTTGTGGGTAATTCAATTCATTTTGCCCCTTCTAATAAGATATTTGTCAACGCCGTTTTTAGAAAACTAAACAAAAATTTTTAAAAAATTAAGATCAAATTTAATAGTTAATTTTAATTATATATTTTATGAGATCCACAATTTTTGTCGACGTTTCAACCACATTTTATCAACTTTTATCAAAATATGTTAAAAGTTTTGTGAGTTGTGACAAACGATCCCTTACTGTAGTGAACGTATCCATCGGTACTAAAGATTTGTTACTTATTGACATTTTGTAAAAGGGAATAATCACCGGACTTAAAGCATACGTGACCACGTGAGTTCGTAGCTGTTAGTTTGTACTCAAAGATTGGTAATGCCCAATTCTATAATTAAGCGTCTATTTTGGATCTTAAATTTCTATAAAATTAAGTTTTCAATGTTTAAGTTTTATAGAACTTGTTGTCACATAAATATTGTACACGCATACGACCCATAATCCGAAATTTTTATTACTAAACATTTTTCCATTTTTTATACGAAGAGAGAAATGGAGAAGAGAATAGCGACAGTTAGAAACTCGGTTATATTTTATTGAGATTCAAAATTCATATTCATAGAAAGTTTCACATTCATATGTTATAATTAAGATTGTAGGGATATGATGATCACCCAAAATTAATAATTAATTTAAAACACCTCCCGTAAATGACTATTCATATGGAAAATGCCTCCTGCACAGGATCTGTGCAACAGACCCTGTGCAAGCAGCACAATTGCTATTCATATAATGATTGTGTTCCTAAAAATCTTGTTTGGTAAAAATCTAGTAAGACAAAAAATGCCAAAATGAAAAAGCGCAAAAAAAAATGGTATAATCAAACAATTAATACTATTTATAATCAATGACTACAGTAGTAGTCATTGGCGGACATGTAAGCTTAATGAGTAATTTCATCTTTAAGTACTCCACCATTTTTTGACTTAAGTTTAAAAATTACTCAATAACTTGTTCAAAATATAAGTTGAGATCTATTTCTCAAAGCATCCACTTGTTAATAAACTTTTATATTTTAGTCAAATATAAATTTGTTAACTATCATGCCAAATATCATATAACTTAACAAATATGTTTTTTAAAATCTCCATAAACAATTGGGATATGCCTGCATTTGTCCAATATTGTCTAATGCAACATCGCATATGACAATCCAACATCGCATATGATTTAAAATGTTGGTTTCACCGAAAATTCTAGATAATCTAGGTGTATAATCTCTTTGGTTTTTATTTTCTCATATTCCACTAAATTCTTTTTAATCCAAGCAAAAATTCTGCTAGAGGCTATACAACATTGCCTACAAATCTGTAAACACATATCTACCATTCTTAGAAGAGCAGTGCTTCATTTACAGAATGAAGGTTCACAGAAGTTCTACATACAAGACACAAATGCGTGGGGCCTGCAATTTATTGTCATTTTTTTATACACGCTTGGGGACCCGATCTCCTCTCTCTTCTGACTCCATTTTGTGATCAATTAATCTGTACAATCAGATTAATTGTTCTTAGAAAGACCATTCTCATTAGCTACCCATTTATATAAGGAAAGTTTGTATTCATCTGCTCTACATAATTAATGCCACTGTCTTCATTCAAACTCAAGACAGTTTTGTAACGCGTTTACCAAAAATTTTATCTGCGTCACTGTTCAGGGAAGCAATCAACTTAAATTATTTTGTTTTAGAAAATTGAAAGATAACCACTAAGACAACGACAATATATTATAATTTCAATTTTTTATTTTCTTTAACAAAAATCCAAAGTGATAGAGAAAGTTAGTTTTGATTACATTTAGGGTCCGTTCGATTGCAAAAATGAAATTTGAGTGGAAAGAAAACAAATTTCAGAGCATTGAATTGCTTAGAAATTATTTTACAGGAAATTGTCAATTATTGTGTTTGTTGGTATAATTTTTTAGGTGAAAAATGTTGAAATAAAAGTGTTTTTTTGGTGTTCGTATGGTTTTGTTTTACATGAAAATTGTCAATTAAGGGATAGAATTTACTGGTATTAGGAATAAAATTTGTTTCCATTGCCAAGAAAAAAAAGCAAAGAAAATCATCTATCTTTTGATATTCATTTGACTTTATTTTATATGAAAATTGTCAATTAAAGAAAAATATTTTTTTACATTTTGGAATAAAATTTGTTTCCATTGCCCAAATAAAAAAAAATGAAAACCAATTCCCACCTTTTCTAGCAAAACCAAGAAAATTCCAGCTTCCAAGAAAACCAAATTCCATGGAAAAATATGCTATCAAATAGCCAAAAAATGAAAGTTGGAATTTGAATTCCATTTTCCATGAAAAATATAGTGCTATCAAACATGGCCTTATAGCTTATTTTCATTTTATTAAATTGATCTAGAATGATTTATATTTTTCAACAATTTTTTTTGGAATTTAATTGTATCTCTTAACTCAAAATATTTGCGTTCGCTACTAATAGTAGTCATCTTATATGTTATATGAAGCAATGAAATTACAAGAAATTAATTCCTAAAATAAAACTGCCACATGTTGCCTTTTTATTACTCCAATCAAATGCTGCTTAGATAAAATCTTTCAAAACAACCCCATGAAAAATATTTGGAAACAAAATCGAGTTCGCGTAATTTTATTTCCTTTTTCTCACCAATCAACCTGTCGGACATGTTCCAAAACAACTCCCACCCAACAAAATAAAAAAACAAATCAGCAGGCAAGCACAAACAAGTGCCGTGAATGGTGATGATCCCAAATGGCTAATTGATTAATGAAATATTAAATCTTAAAATAGTCGAGAATACAGCTTGAATGTGACCTGTAGAGTTTGACAGACACTCCATAAATCTCAATCAATACGACGACATGGCCACTCTCAATTTAACATGTACTACAGATCAAGTAGGGACAGAGGAACAAGTTTCCCGGCAGAGGCTTTTGAGAAAAGGGGTATTATTGACTTGTAGTTTTTCAGATCTCCCTTTACCCTGTTTTTCTTGATTTCTCAGTCCAAAGAAACAAAACAAGAATTTACCCTATTTAATCTCAATTATTTGTTGATTATCATTTTATTGCATTTTTTCTTTTTTTGGTGGGTTTCGAAATAAGTTGAAATTTTTGTCTCCAATTTTTGAGTTCAATTGGCGGGAAATCAAGTTTGTCGTCATCTATTGAAATCTTTTTGTTTTATTTGTGAATTCAAAGTTTTGGTGCGTTACAATTCACAAACAGTAGTTGGGTGGGGTTCTACATTATAATTCAAATCAAATGTATATAGATATACTGAATATATAGAAAAGGAAGTCGAAAAATGGGGGTATTGGATAATACGAAAGGGCTAATATTGGCAATGTTGTCGAGCTTGTTTATTGGGACGAGCTTCATCTTGAAGAAGAAAGGTCTTAAGCGTGCTGCTGCTGCCGGTACTCGTGCAGGTCCGATTTATTCAATCTTGGATTCTTGATTAGTTTTTTGAAATTATTATTTGGTTTTCGCGTTTAAATTTGCTCGATCAGCTAGATCTCTGCTTGAATAATTGACACCTGATCTAATTTCGGGGGAATAGTTTGTTTCTGATTGTAATTACTGAGAATTTAGATTATGCATTTTGCGATTACTTGATGTAATGAAAATTTGAATTTGCTATGCTTTTCATAGCCTTTTCCAAGTCCGGCTGCAGGAGGAGGATACCGATAGCTTGAAAAACTTTACTGAATCTGATGACGCGAATCCTAATACAAGTTTCATGTGTTGTTATGATTTGAAGTTGTGGAATAATAGTGTCCGCCGTTTGGTGTTTTGAAACAGAAATGGAGTTTATGCACTGGGATTTTCTCCCATTACCTGAGAAAATTGGTAGAAGGCTTTATCAGCTTGGCTTGAGCTATGCTTTTGTGGGGAAGCTAATTAGAAATAGATGAATTGATGACTTAAATTTAAGGTTGGCTCTAAGAATTTCTGGTTCCCATGGTTGGTTGTGGTGTTGGCGTTATTGATTAGAATTGGAAAACATCAATGGGCAAATTGTATGCGAAAGGAAATCTAATTATATCACTCATTTATATAGAGAAGCTGCCCATGAAAACTCGGATTGTATAATCATTCTTGAAACAATTTCATATAAGGAAATAATTAGATATACATTTATCTCGATTTCCAATTCTTGCAAAATCAACTTGTTAAATGTTATAAAACACTTCTATGCTACTAATCCTGCAGGTACCGGAAGCTACACTTACTTGTTAGAACCTCTTTGGTGGGCAGGCATGATTACAAGTAAGTATTTGAATGATTGCTTCCTGTTAGGTCATTCTCATCTCTGAAAGAACCAAAATATTCTCATTGTAAAGGAATTAATTTTTAAATTACGCTTACATATAGTGATTGTCGGAGAGATAGCAAATTTTGTTGCTTATATGTTTGCCCCAGCAGTTCTTGTGACTCCTCTCGGTGCATTGAGTATTATTGTTAGGTGCGATTTCTGAATTCTTTGTGTTATTAAGTGTGATAATGTAAATTCTGTAAGAAATTCTTGATGATCTATTACAATACTAACTTCTTTGATGAATCTGAATAGTGCTGTTCTAGCACACTTTATGCTGAAGGAACGATTAAGGCAGATGGGTATTCTGGGATGTTTGTCCTGCATCGTAGGATCAATAGTAATTGTAATTCATGCACCTCAGGAACATACACCAAGTTCTGTGCTAGAAATCTGGACTTTGGCTACTGAACCAGGTTCCTATTTCTTGACTTCAAAAACTTCTTTTGCATTTGCCCAGAAAAAAGTCATTTCTCACTTCTGCTTGTTGCTTCTGCCTACAGCTTTTCTGATTTATGAAGCAGTAACATTGTCAATGGTTCTTGTTCTGATTATATACTTTGAGCCCCACTATGGACAGACAAACATTCTGGTTTACTTGGGAATTTGTTCGTTGATGGGTTCACTTACGGTAATAGTTTTTCCCGGAAATATTTATTGTGCTATTTGTTTGATAAAAACAAATTTATATCTCCCATGCTTGTATCATGTTTGACTAAGTATATGAGTAGATTTTAAAGTAATTCTTTTATTGGTTAAGTTAGAAATAATGAATTACTTATTTTGAAACTAAGGTAAGAGTTACTTTAAAAATATTAACTATTTTTACTTAAAAGTAAGCAAAATGTTAGTTATCCAAATATGCTAGGAGACTAAATTAAAAAGTAGCTTCACCTTTTCTTAAGTTTATCCAAACACGATCAACATCTTATTATTTTTATTATTATTATTATTATTATTATTATTATTATTATGATGATGATGATGATGTTACCATGCAGGTCATGAGCATAAAGGCTATAGGAACTGCAATAAAGCTTACTCTGGAGGGGATCAGTCAAGCAGCATATCCACAGACATGGTTTTTTCTTTCGGTTGCAGTAATCTGTGTGATCACACAGTTAAATTATCTTAACAAGGTGCTCATAATCTTAAAATACCTTTTTTTTATTCCTGCATGATGATAAAATTTAGCTAGTGCTTCATTGTTTAACCAAATGAGCTTCTTCAATGTATGAATCTTAGTGCTTCATTTCCATTCTGATGAACGTCTTTTGTTTCCTCTTTCTCACATTTCCTGATCCCTATGTCTTTTTTGTTCAGGCACTTGATACTTTCAATGCAGCAATTGTTTCTCCAATATATTATGTGATGTTCACAACTCTAACTATCATCGCGAGTGCGATAATGTTCAAGGTAATTCCCATTCTCTTGGAATGTATGTTATCCATTTCCTGCTTCATTACACCTCTAAGTTTACATGGACAAATTATTACTAATGGCTAATTTGTTTGCAGGACTGGTCAGGTCAGGACATGAATAGCATAATATCTGAGATATGTGGATTCATTACTGTCCTATCGGGAACAATAATACTTCACGTGACACGAGAAGAGGAACCCACAACACTGCCAGGTATAGTCCAAGGTGAAGTTCCATCCCACTATGTATCAAGATGTGTGCCAATATAACATGTTCCATAAGTAGTTTACTGTCTACAGTTATGGTTTACTAACCTTTATGTCATGTTTAGCATGCTATATTGAACAAGCTTTCCTGTGTATGAATTATGAACATGGCATGTTTTGTCGAGGATTGGACAGACCAGTTGAACAAAAGTTCAATTTTTATCCTTCAAATTCTCTTGTTCAATCCCTTACAGCGCACCAAACAAGATATGGTTTTGAATAGACGAGCAGATTGTTAAAATCATTCGTCATTGAGATCTAATTTTAGGAAATTTGACTTTATTTTCAGTCCTGATGTAGATTTTATCAGCATATGTGAAATTCCCAAGTTTAAAAACAGAATTGGGTGGCCGGAGGAGCATTATCTTGCCCAGCTACCTTTAATCGTAGCTATGGTGTTATCTATATAGCTAACACCATTCATTGACTTATTTTTGCAGGAACCATAATATGGTATGATGGAGATCCGGCAAAAGGCTTGGAAGATGCACATTATATCACATTGCACTCTCCCGATTTCTTTCAGTAGTGAATTTTCTAAAAAGACTCGAGCAAGACAAGTTTACTAGCACTTGGGCTAATATGGCACACAATGATTTATGATTTTGGGGATACGAGTTTCTCAAAAAGATTGTGCATTTTCAGGACTGGATAGGCTGCCTCTTCCTCTGTGCACCTTTCCTTAGATGTTCAGGGACGAGGGCTCTTTAAATTGCAGATGCATATTCTAGTTGGATTAATGGATCTTCCATGGCAATCTCAAGCTATGTGTTGAAACATACACAAGTAGGGTTTCCTTCAGCTTATGTTGACTGGTGATTGTATATATTTGTCCTTATCCTCATTTCTTCGAGTAATTGAGTTAATAGTTGTATGATTATTGGTTTTGTTTTTTTATTGTAGTTCTGAGAGCGATCAGTGCAGATAAGGTTTAGTAATACTATCACCCGTTTTTGAAGATATTTATGTCGTCAATATGAAGATATCAGTTTTGTATTTGTAAGCTGCATGTTTGATGTTTTCATGCCTGATACTTTCCGCTTATTATTTTTGTTTTTTCCTTGTTTTCCTTTTCTGATCATCGTTGAAAGAGTAATAGATCTTTTGTGAAGTCAGAAATGATCTCCTACTCATGGTGGGTAGGAGTTATCTTGTCTATTGATTGCCATGTCAGCGGTCAAGCCTACAATTTTTGACAATTCAATATTAAGTAATGTTATTTGCAATCGTTCTCCACAACATTCATCTTATATGACATACACAAGGTGCATAATTATTTGTTGCATACATAATACAATTACCAAAGAGTGGAATGCTGGTCTACATTGGGTTAAGCTATTTTATTGACCCACAGTCTGTACACTAAAGTAAAACTAGGTCTATACAATAAAGTAACTCTAAAGGATTACCTAGTAGTTAACTACTCTTCAATCTAACATCACCCCTCAAGCTCATGGGGGTGTGAACAATCGTGAGCTTGCTATGGAGAAACTATGAAATCTGTGAGTTGAGAGGGGTTTGTTCATGATTCCAAGATGTTCCTCTGAATGGGTAAACTGAACCAGCAAAGATTTATCCACAACTTGATCCCTCACGAAGTGGTAATTAATCTATATATGTTTAGTGTGTGCCTGCGTGATAGGATTCACAGCAATGTGCGTAGCGTTGGAAAATCGGTGCATAATTTATATTCGACAACTAACATTTTACGTGTAAAACTTATCAGAACAAAGATACGTGCATGAAAATATGATCAAATCACGATTCACTGAAACAAAGAGAATAGAAGGAGATGAATCGAAATGAGATATGCGATTGAAAATCTCCATAAGACGGATTTCACATTTTCACGGTATTAACAAGATCAAATGGATGTCTGTCTCCCAAATATAACGCCTTATTATTATTATTATTATTATGATGATGATGATGATGTTACCATGCAGGTCATGAGCATAAAGGCTATAGGAACTGCAATAAAGCTTACTCTGGAGGGGATCAGTCAAGCAGCATATCCACAGACATGGTTTTTTCTTTCGGTTGCAGTAATCTGTGTGATCACACAGTTAAATTATCTTAACAAGGTGCTCATAATCTTAAAATACCTTTTTTTTATTCCTGCATGATGATAAAATTTAGCTAGTGCTTCATTGTTTAACCAAATGAGCTTCTTCGATGTATGAATCTTAGTGCTTCATTTCCATTCTGATGAACGTCTTTTGTTTCCTCTTTCTCACATTTCCTGATCCCTATGTCTTTTTTGTTCAGGCACTTGATACTTTCAATGCAGCAATTGTTTCTCCAATATATTATGTGATGTTCACAACTCTAACTATCATCGCGAGTGCGATAATGTTCAAGGTAATTCCCATTCTCTTGGAATGTATGTTGTCCATTTCCTGCTTCATTACACCTCTAAGTTTACATGGACAAATTATTACTAATGGCTAATTTGTTTGCAGGACTGGTCAGGTCAGGACATGAATAGCATAATATCTGAGATATGTGGATTCATTACTGTCCTATCGGGAACAATAATACTTCACGTGACACGAGAAGAGGAACCCACAACACTGCCAGGTATAGTCCAAGGTGAAGTTCCATCCCACTATGTATCAAGATGTGTGCCAATATAACATGTTCCATAAGTAGTTTACTGTCTACAGTTATGGTTTACTAACCTTTATGTCATGTTTAGCATGCTATATTGAACAAGCTTTCCTGTGTATGAATTATGAACATGGCATGTTTTGTCGAGGATTGGACAGACCAGTTGAACAAAAGTTCAATTTTTATCCTTCAAATTCTCTTGTTCAATCCCTTACAGCGCACCAAACAAGATATGGTTTTGAATAGACGAGCAGATTGTTAAAATCATTCGTCATTGAGATCTAATTTTAGGAAATTTGACTTTATTTTCAGTCCTGATGTAGATTTTATCAGCATATGTGAAATTCCCGAGTTTAAAAACAGAATTGGGTGGCCGGAGGAGCATTATCTTGCCCAGCTACCTTTAATCGTAGCTATGGTGTTATCTATATAGCTAACACCATTCATTGACTTATTTTTGCAGGAACCATAATATGGTATGATGGAGATCCGGCAAAAGGCTTGGAAGATGCACATTATATCACATTGCACTCTCCCGATTTCTTTCAGTAGTGAATTTTCTAAAAAGACTCGAGCAAGACAAGTTTACAAGTTTACTAGCACTTGGGCTAATATGGCACACAATGATTTATGATTTTGGGGATACGAGTTTCTCAAAAAGATTGTGCATTTTCAGGACTGGATAGGCTGCCTCTTCCTCTGTGCACCTTTCCTTAGATGTTCAGGGACGAGGGCTCTTTAAATTGCAGATGCATATTCTAGTTGGATTAATGGATCTTCCATGGCAATCTCAAGCTATGTGTTGAAACATACACAAGTAGGGTTTCCTTCTGCTTATGTTGACTGGTGATTGTATATATTTGTCCTTATCCTCATTTCTTCGAGTAATTGAGTTAATAGTTGTATTACTATTGGTTTTGTTTTTTTATTGTAGTTCTGAGAGCGATCAGTGCAGATAAAGTTTAGTAATACTATCACCCGTTTTTGAAGATATTTATGTCGTCAATATGAAGATATCAGTTTTGTATTTGTAAGCTGCATGTTTGATGTTTTCATGCTTGATACTTTCCGCTTCTTATTTTTGTTTTTTCCTTGTTTTCCTTTTCTGATCATCGTTGAAAGAGTAATAGATCTTTTGTGAAGTCAGAAATGATCTCCTACTCATGGTGGGTAGGAGTTATCTTGTCCATTGATTGTCATGTCAGCGGTCAAGCCTATAATTTTTGACAATTCAATATTGTGTAATGTTATTTGCAATCGCTCTCCACGACATTCATCTTATATGACATACACAAGGTACATAATTATTTGTTGCATACATAATACAATTACCAAAGAGTGGAATGCTGGTCTACATGGGGTTAAGCTATTTTATTGACCCACAGTCTGTACACTAAAGTAAAACTAGGTCTATACAATAAAGTAACTCTTAAAGGATTACCTAGTAGTTAACTACTCTTCAATCTAACGTCACCCCTCAAGCTCATGGGGGTGTGAACAATCGTGAGCTTGCTATGGAGAGACTATGAAATCTGTGAGTTGAGAGGGGTTTGTTCATGATTCCAAGATGTTCCTCTGAATGGGTAAACTGAACCTGCAAAGATTTATCCACAACTTGATCCCTCACGAAGTGGTAATTAATCTATATATGTTTAGTGTGTGCCTGCGTGATAGGATTCACAGCAATGTGCGTAGTGTTGGAAAATCGGTGCATAATTTATATTCGACAACTAACATTTTACATGTAAAACTCATCAGAACAAAGATACGTGCATGAAAATACGATCAAGTCACGATTCACTGAAACAAAGAAAATAGGAGATGAATCGAAATGAGATATGCGATTGAAAATCTCCATAAGACGGATTTCACATTTTCACGGTATTAACAAGATCAAATGGATGTCTATCTCCCAAATATAACGTTTTTTCCAAAATTTATATGGCAGAATATTAATTTTATCGGGAGAACCAAGGTGTTGATAATATTCTTTTCAAATGGAATAGACATGAACTAAAATAGTTGGGATAGAATTTTATTTCTGAAAATAAGTCGGAGGAAATTTAATTTCAGAAAATAGAAATAACAGAATATTTTGAAAAGTACAGAGAATTTAGAAATCAATTTTTCTTGAACTAGGGATACGAAATATGGAATTGGAAGTCCCTATTTATAGATTTTCAAGTATCTTTTCAGAATGATATCATTTTTGATATAAATTAATGTATGTGGTTCAGTGGTCAAACTTTTCATATTTAATGATTTGGATTGCACTACATTAAAGATTCTGAATTTCGTTATGTACACTTAGTGCTTGTTTGTTACTGATTAAAAGCCAATTCAAATAAATTGTTTGACCGTTATTTCACTATTTCAATCGTCATTTTTGAATTATTCTCTTACAGATAAGACTCACTTTATCTCTAACGGTAAAAGAATCGGTTATCAAAATTTCTACTAAATAAGCTCTTAATCTCAAATAGACTCTTTGATATGCATTATTTACATTTGAAAATTCATTACTAGTCATCACACCCAAACAACATGACTCTTTGATATGCATCATTGGTATTTGAAGAGTCATGAGGAGTCGTCACACCAACTAAAGACTCTTCCAATCTACACATACAAAAATTATCCCGTAAATCCAACATGTAGCGGTAGCACTCATCTTAGCACAATAAAGAGAAGGTAAACAAATATGATTTAGATCTTTGAGTAAGTCTTCCAACAAGATAATCCTTGAAAATTGAATTCCTGTAGATTTGGCATTGTTGCGAAAGCTCGCTACAAAATTTTCGAAATCTTGATTTTTAAGCTTAGTTTCACGTTACTTTTCACTACCAAACAATCAATTCAAATGACTTTGAGTCATAACTAATATATTCACCTATGGTAGTTTCTCAATATCACTTACAAAGGACAATATATTGGTGTTGATTTGTAGCCACAAAGGTAAGAAAAAAGCAATGAAAGAAGACACGAAGATTAGACCAAAGACACAAAGACAGCCACCGATTTTGGATCACGAAGCAAACTGGTTTTTCTCCCTCCATTTCTAGCTACGTCTTTTTCCTCTTTTTTCTCACAAATCACACACATAAAAATGGCTAGGACAATACACAGGGACGAATCCGAGATTACTGGTGAGTTAGGGCAACGGTTGATCGTCGATCGTCAATGATCGCCACAGCGATATCGTTTATTAATCATAAAAAATGATATAAAGAACAAAAGGAACATTTTGGGAAAGTAAAACAAGACTAACAGGTCTAAAAAAATCAACAGTATCTTCAATAATAATAATAATAATAATAATAATAATAATAATTAACACACCCAACAGAAACAACAATCATACAAAGAGATCACATTTAGTAAAAAAGGATAACATTCAGCATCTCATAAACAACTAGCAATTATGAATAGTAAATGAAAAAAAAATAAAAATCGTCCAGGATTTATTGGGTATCAAAACCCAACAAACCTTTACATTGATACACAATCAACCTACAAGCAATTAAACACAAAGTTAATACTTGTATAATCAAGGTAACCAATAAAATTGGGATCATAGACATTACCTCGTCTTTTGGACCTGAAACACATTCAATACTTGCTTTATATACTCATTAGAGCTAAGATAAAAAAATAAATCCAAATAGAAACGGATAATCATAGTAATAAATCAAGAGCATATGCCACATGTGATGAAGATATAACACAAAATAACACAAATCTTTTCAAACACATTCACATTGAACAATAGACTAATACCAAGTTAATCAATTAAATGGCCAACACATAAACAACAAATATATAAATGACCCACGAAAAGATCTTATCACATTTATCCTATCCCATTCCGTGTCGCTCACATCTTGAGAAATCATATATCCTATTATCGCCCACCATACTCACTAGGCTATTCACTAACTCGTGTCTAACTGGTAAATCACAATAGATCATAAGTCCACGGAATTATCCTCTATCGCTACTTCACTTTTGCCATGGATAATAGGTCTCCACCTAATAGAGTGATGAAAGTGTCTCTTTCATATTTCATTTGATCGGGATCTTCACAAATAAAAGATTCTAATATTTAATTTCCTCCCTACTCGTAATCTAAATGTCACACTCTACATTCACGGTGCAAACCACCAATATATCCTTAGGCATCTACACTCCACATTACCAAAAGATACACATCACACTTACTGCTAATGCATCCCAACCCCCACTATGCTGGCAAACTAGTTACAAATTGCTCTCAAATTCATGCAAAAGCATATAACAAACATAATGAAATGTAGCATATAACCATGCAACAGAATTATGCAATCACACATATGTAGAAATGATTACATATAGATGTACATGCGATAACTAGTTTTATTCTTAATAAACCATGCTAGGGTTATCACTTGACCCCAAAACAATATTCGCCCCACCTCTCATCCTACCTTTCTGCTTACTGGCACTGTTGAATTAAATATTTGGATGGATGCTGAACGTATTAATTTGAACGAAAAGAAGAAATTCAAAAGATATATAAACTGCATGGATATTATATAATATAGGAAATGATGTTTGAGCACCCACCCCCAATACTACTGTCCTCCTGATAGTTTTTGTGTTGTTGTAGTGATGAGATAGGATGATTGAGGATGTTTTGTATGGAATAATTTTGGAGGTAAAAAATTGTTGGCTTTTTATTGAAAGTTAATAGTTTGGAAGATTTTGGTAGAAAGTAATTTGGTGGACAAAGTGGGTAGGAGAAAGGAATTTTATTAGAATGATAATAGCTTACAATAGCTTGAGCTTTGTCTAGCTTCTTTTTTCTTACTAACAAATGAGGGATCATGCCCTATTTATAGACTCTTATCATATCTTCTAGAGAATTCTAATAGTGTCCACAACCTATACAAGGTTTTTTGGTGTCCAAGTTACTCTAGTGGAATCTAGACAATTCTAATTTTTTATTATACTTGCTTACCAAGGAATTCTAGGATATTCTAGGCAAGTAATTCTAGATTCTTCTAGAAATGAGCATCATTAAATTTATCACCTCCCTTAGGTCCCCTTACATGATTTTATCCCATTTTGTTGTTCTGTTCTCAATCCTTATCCTTTGAAAGTTTGTCGTGTGAGCATGTTAATTAAGTTTATGTCTTTAGAAGCAAAAAATAAAAAATAAAAAATGGAAGGGTTTGTCTGTGCTTTGGTGAAATTGATGATTAGGAAACTCGGTAGAATAGTACCTCACCTGTTGTGTGTTATAATATATTGATATATATTTTATTCTCATCGTTTGATTAGTTTCTCATTAAACTTAATTAATTTTTGTTTTAGTGCTGAAAAAACTGAAAATGGACCTGCTGAAGACGGTGAAGATAAAGATGCCCAAATGTGAAGGGAAATTTGTTTGGAAGGGAAAAGTGGTAAACATGGCTGAAAATTTTGATATGCTGGAGTGATCTTCTATTGATCTTTTGTGTTACTGTGTCGTACAAGAAAGAGGCATTTTGGTACAAAATTTGCACATATATAATATTTTTAAGGGGTTAAAGGTTTGTTGTATTGGGAGTATTATAATTAGATTGGTGTTAATTTCATTGTTGGTCAAACTCTGTTCTTAGATGAAGCATGTGATATAATTTAACTTTAACAATTAACATATAGAAACTCCTTATCTGTTGCAAGTATATGCATTAATGCAGTTGTGATAGTAGCATTTTCAAAACTGTATTTGATGTGATCACCCGGAATCCTGAATGCATTTGTAGTGTCTTGATGGGAATTCACATGGCAGGAACTATACACAT